ATATATATATATATATATATATATTGTATCTCTGTGTAATTCTTCCAAAGATTTTGCCACATATTTTAAATAAGATAAATAATTTAAACAAGACAATTAGTAAAAAGTTCTAAATAACTTTGGAGGTTCTCTTTCGGCGCCGTTAACTGTGTCATTCATGCGTAGACTTTTAACAGATTTTGAAATGTTTGGTTTTCTAAACTTTTGAATATTTTCAGCATAATGACATAGCCATAAATTAGGATTTATTATAGCTACGATGTAATACTCTTGGGCAATGAGGAACAAATTTTGCGGAAATTTTTCACTTTTTTTAATGGATTTCGTGTTGTATTTTCATCGGAACCGTTTTGCTGGCCTAATAGAAATCTAGCCCCAAAATATCCACTTGTTAACTTTGGCCACAGGTATTTGTTTTACAAGTGTATTAACTTCATTTTATAGACGGGATCGAAATACTTTTTGCTTATAAATGCTAAATTTTCTTCAGATATTTAAACTCTGGGGTTTTTATGGGTTTCGCTCCCGAGATTTGGAGCTTAATAAGTTACCGAGATGTGGAAGATAATGATGACGATCAATTGTATTACACACGTCTCTATTTGGATAAACAAATACGAGTTAGTTTGTCATCATAATTTATCCTTTCCACAATTCACTTGCTTTTTGCGCAACTTGATTGAAAACATGTATAAAAATATAAATTACAGTGTAAAATATGATTCAATTCCTTGAAGTTGTAATTTGACTTTCATTTTCAAAAGCGTTTTAATGCCTTCATAATACATGAAGTTTTATTTCTAAGTTAGCATTTTTAAAGTACAGTAATTGTCGAGATCTTTCCTCTTTCTGATTTTTGATTAAATGAAAGGGTTTCATTTAATCAAAATTAATAAAAGTTGAGATTTCAAAGCCTAGGTAAGCATGTGCGACTTGATTACCTGCTCAGTATAAGTTAGCGGTATTCAAGTCGAATATGCTGCAAGATTGCAAGATAAGTGATGATACGGACAAAACTGTATATTTGAGCAATAAAACTCATCCCGCTACTCCTTATTTGTGCAGCCACTATTTAGTTTTTTAGTTATTATTGCCACTTTTTAACCTGCTTTTTGTGGCATAACCGTACATCGGATCGTGAAATCGTTTTACTCGGTAAATTAAGTTAGGTTGGATTACGTGATCTAAAAATTCTTAGACATCGCTTTTTAATTTTTTATTTACTTTACTCGTCGTTTTTCTTGAAGTTATTTACAAAGACTTGAAAAAAATAGCGGAGAGTTTGTGTGAACAAAATTCATTTAAAGCTGTCACTGAAAATGACATTGGATTCAATGACCGTTCTATTTCAAAATCTAAATGGTGCATCAAATGACGTGAAGTTGGAAATGAGTGGTGAAAGAAGCGGAATGTATTTTGTTAGTTATTTTTTTATGTGGAATACGAATTTAGGTGAGCAAGAGGCAACAAGTTTTTCAAAGTATTGGGTAATAGAGATATATTTCCCTAACAGAAAACTAGGCTTCCAAATTGAATCCAACAACTCGTCTGGGTATCATTTCAGATCTACAATTTTATTTATAACACACACCCTTTGGTTATACATGGTAATGGTCCAAGCAAGCTTTATTTAAATCATCTCGGTAACTACATCGATCCGCTTAGGATAGCCACTTCGAAAACGCAATCAATAACAATGGTACTGCTGAAAATTCTAATTGAAAACAGAAAAAAGAGTCTGATTCATTTTTTTTAGTCTCAAGTACGTTTAAGTAGGTGATTATTTGTCCATTTTGGCATTAAATTGATTCAAACTGAAAATTCTGTGTTCCTGTTCGTAGTTTCTGTTCTCTCTATTCTGAATTCTATATCTATGTTCAACTTTTTGTATGATGAACTTTGATGAATGTGAATTCAGGATTTTGAAAAGATTGAATTACCGAAGTTATTTCTGTCGATCATTATTTCCAAACCGATACCATTTATTCGTGAGTTTTTTGGAAATATTAAGAAGTTGGCGTATACAGATGAAAAAATTGATTTATTTGTATATTGCAATCAAAAATTCTTGACGAAAGAGGTAACTGATTTTACTTCATTCCAACTATCGTTTCATAGTACAATTCTCGATTATTATTTCGAAGTGACGGTAAAAGGTTAAAAGAAGAAGGACCTGACATCTTATCTAATTTCACAATTAGCTTTCTCTTAACTAATGTTAAATTAGAATAGCTTTAAACACGAGATCTAGTGAACTTGATTTGACCAACCAACTGTTCTGGAATGAATCAAAGCTGTATCTGTCATCTGCTTGGTCATCACAACTTTCAGAGATTTTTCTAGGTCAGCGACTTTGTTGAAGATGTGAAAAAGCGCTACCGATCACTATTGTATGATGATAGCACGGAGATGGAGGAGCGTGAAGCCCGTTCGTTTTCATTGTTCGTGCTTCTATTTTAGTGTGTTGTTTAAAAGAGATGATTAGAAAAATTTTTTTATCCAACGTTTCATTTGAAACCAAAATTTTTTTGCAAGTTTTTGCAAGTAACTTTTCGGCAGTTTCTGGGGGACTTTTTTCTAGAAAACAAAGCTTGGCATTGGGGGACGATTACCTTATAATGGTTGATGGCGATGTACACTTAAATAATTCGGAAGCCTTGCTGTTTATGGTTCACACAATGAAAGAAAAAGAGCCGTAAGTTCGTGAGGAAATTAAACATTTGGCTTTCATTAAAACATGGTTGGTTTCAAAAATGAAAAAAGCGGTAATAAGTTCTAGTTTCGACTTTTTCCTGTGAAAGAAGGGTTAGTTGCAAGTACTGTCTTTTTTTTTTTGCAACATTCTTAGAAAGTTTGCTAAAAATTATTAATTTGATCATTATAATATTCAGCGAGGAAATGAATATGCCATTATTGTATGTTACAGAGAGATTCTTGCACCTTTAATTAGACAACCACATAAGTTGTTCACCAATTTTTGGGGTGCAATCTCTAGTAACGGATACTACGCTAGATCCGAGAACTATCTGGATATCATTGATCATAAAGAAGTGGGAATTTGGAATGTACCCTTTATTGGTTCGATTTTAATAATTGCGAAGGAAAAGGTGCACAATTTTGCTTAGCTCTTCCTTTTAGTTTTTCACGAAATTGTGCTGGCGAAGTTGGCAGATGTTTTAAGCTCTTACTTATGAATTTTATAAACAGCGAGATTCAAATAAATTATGATTGAGAAATATTAACAGTGAGTTTTTAACACAACAGACATCCATTTCTGGGCCTCGTTTTATGGGAGCAATAGGAATTTTATAAGCGTTTTGACAGCGCTTCTTAGGAATATTTTCTTGGGACGAGTGGCAATAGGCTAGAATTTCAGGTCTTATCTGAGACTTTTTCACTTAACTCACTTGGTGCCACAATGTCTGTCATTAATCCATTACATTATGATAATTGAATACACTTGATTGCATTTTGGTTATGATTACTGTTACTCGTTTCCAGCTGACGTCTTTATCACGTGCATACCATTATGACGAGAAACTAGATCCTGATATGAGCTTTTGTTCATTTGCACGTGACAAAGTAAGCATTAAAATACAAAAACTTTACTTAGTTTTTGTGGATTTCCATGTTGTTCATTGATGTGACCGATCAATATTTCCGAAAAGAATGTGATTGGAAAAAAAATGAATGTTCTTCAATTAGTTTTTGTTCCAAATGTCCTATTTGCAACTTACAGGGTCATTTTCTTTACCTTGATAACAGCCACCACTACGGTTTTCTGGTGGTTAGTGAAAATGTTGAATCTTCCAAAGTCCACCCGGAAATGTATGAAATTTTCAATAATAAAGAGGTCAGTTTTTGGAATTGTGCTGATTCTGAACTTTGATCAGTTTACCTGATAATTATTATAATAACATTGCAAAGATTTAGTCTTAGGTGTTTTGCGATGCTACCGATTTTGGTTGTGAAGTGGCCCTGGAACATTGAGAGAATATATTCTTACTGCATTTCTTCGTATTTTGTTACGAATTCCTTTTTTAAATGAATGGTCAATACCGAAATTCTTTCAGTTATGGGAGAAGCGGTATATACATCCGAATTATTTTACTGCTCTTAATGGTTCTACACCAATTCCGGAAATATGTCAAGACGTGTACGATTTTCCACTCATGTCCGAAAGATTTTGTGCGGAACTTATTGAAGAATGTGAGTATTACGGGAAATGGTCAGATGGTAAACATAAGGTATTTGAACTGTTGACAGTTAGTTACTTTGCATGTTCATTTTCTTGAAAAGAAAAAAAAACAAAGTGGCATAAAATGAAATGTATTGTCAATATGTATTAAGTTTAGTTTAGTCATTGAAAAGTTTAGTTTAATCATTATGCTTGGCGTTCCAACGACAAATCGAATTAGAGTGAACTGAAACATTTTGAGCTCTAATTATTCATTGCAAAATCAAATTTCAGGATGAAAGATTAGTTGGCGGTTATGAAAACGTACCTACTCGTGATATTCATATGAAGCAGATTGATTTCGAACGACATTGGTTATACATGTTAGATGAATATGTTCGTCCAATACAGGAAAAATTGTTTATTGGTTATTACAAACAGGTGAGGTTCTGTTGATTCTCAATAACTAGAGCTAAAAAAACCAATAAAATACTAAGAAATCGAACCGAAGATATGTTTTGCCTCAAAAATGCACTTTTTTAAACTTTTTGATCGAAACCCAATTTTCCTACCAAAAATATATTGTTTATATTAATATTAATATTTATAAAAAAACTTTTTCTGCTGTTTTACTTTTGCGATTTTTGACTAGGTGTGTCATTAACCGATGAGCAAGATTTCCCAAAACCTGAACTTACACTTTCAGCCAGTGGAGTCTGTAATGATGTTTGTTGTACGTTACAAGCCGGAGGAGCAAGCTTCACTAAGGCCTCATCATGATGCTTCAACTTATAGCATTGATATTGCATTAAATAAACGAGGAGTGGATTATGAAGGAGGTGGTGTGCGTTTTTTACGATATAATTGTACTTTCGATGCTGATGTTGTGGGTGAGTTCAAATTTTAACAGTATCAATTACCACAATATATCAGCGATATTAGCCACTTTTTTAGCGAACATATGGTTTGAGATTTGTTTACCGAGCTCCATTCCAAATTTCAGTACGATATAGCATTTGTCTGTCGTTTTTTTTGATAATAATTAAAATATTGATAACTCTATTAAAATAACTGAAGGCCGTTATAAATTTTAAAATGTTACGGTGTTTTTATTAATTTAGACGTGTAGTGGCGTAATTTGCAATTATTTATCGCAATTTCATCAGCTATCTTACCAGATCAGTTTGTCATGAGATGTAGATCATTTAGACTTGTTAAATCATATATTTCAAAGCATGTGTTCTTTTTCTGTCTGTTTTATGCTGCTCTTATGCCTTAAAATTGATCTTGATAGGCCGAAGTTGAGTTGTTCCGAACAGAATTTAATTATTGATGTGAATCATTGATATGAAAATAATAGTCGATATAAAAAATTGTATGAATAGCAAGCTATTCCAATTTTGATTTTGCAGGTCATTCGATGATATTCCCAGGTCGTCTGACACATTTACATGAAGGTTTGGAAACTACTCGAGGAACTCGTTATATTGCTGTTTCCTTTATCAATCCATAAGTTTTCTCATTTTCTTAGCTTTACATGATTGTGTTGACTTTCACTAATCTTTTTTATGTGTTCAAAATTTTAAATAGGTTTTGTGTAAAAGAGTTGGTTGCATCAAGTTTGAACTTTTGAATTGAGATTTTTAAAAAGTTGCTAGGTTTTTTATGAATTTAAAAAATTTTTGATACTGCCTAGTTATTCCTTTTCGCTTCATTTTTTTGCCTTCATTGTTTTATGCATTTGACCATCTTAGAAATTCGCGATTCTGGATTCCTGTAGTATTCTTGTCCTAGCTTAAATAAACTTTATTTTGTTATGGAGCAGTGCTACAAGTTATATTTGTTCCAGCATTTTAGATACTCGAGTTATGTTAAATTTTTAATTAATTTATCTTTAGAACTACTAGTATATCATTGGTCATTCTCTGCTTGGAAATTTGGCTTTTTAAATTTTTTAGTCCTGATTCAAATGAAAATGTCATTAATGGATCGTGTTTCTGGTGTTCGTAATCGTTCTATTTCTGTTTTACTACGTCCTAGTTATATAATCACAGGATTGTCGTTAGTAAATTTAAAGATATGAGATATCGCAATATTGATAGTAATTCAAGTCTCATTAGCGATATTTCTGCCTTACCCTCTTTCCGGTTTTTCAGAACAAAATCACTTTTTTTTTTGTTAGTATCGACGAAGGATTGAAAGGAGGCTCTTAAAGACTTCAAATAGGGAGAGTACTGTACACTATTTTATCAGTATCACAGTACTCAAAACTGTCAAGATAATGCATTCATAATAGTGCCAAAAAGAGATAATTCAATCTTTGAAGTTTTGTTTGCAGAACTTCTGGAATTGTAGAAGTCGTTTAATTGCAATAAATTAATCAGTTTGTTCAACGTAAGTGGTAAATTTTTATTGTACTAAAAATTTGGGATGGAATTCGAACATCACGGAGATTTTACCTCAATAATCATAAATAATTTTGCTCATTCGTAATAATGTGTTTGCTAGCATTTCAACTCTAAATGTTTGGGGAAATCTTTTCTGGTCATACTCAACAAATTCTTCGGCTTAAAAACTTTTTTCAGCAGTTGATCTGAATAAATTCCAAATTCATTTCGTCGATAGCAATGTATTCATTGCTCGTCTTGCTTCTACTTTTGGTTCCATCATCATTAGCTGACAAATGTGACTCATCTGCTTATAAATTAGCTGCATTCGCTTTGAGTACTGGCAGTAATGATGGTTTAGAAAGATTGAAGTGTTCTGCTGAACACTATAATATCGATTTCAAGATTCTCGATTTGGGACAGAATTCTATTGACCATGAAGATAAGGAAGTTTGCATTTTCTTTCTGTTTATTTCAGCTGAAGATCGACATAAATTTCGACATAAATTAATGTATTTTGTCAAGTCGATAAGTAACTGCGAATGCATTGCAGATTTTAGTGATTATTTCCAAGTTCTCTATTGTTTTCAATTTATTATTATCTTTTGTTGTTCATTAGAGCTAAGAAAGTGCAGTTCTTCCAATCAGTTTAGGACACTGGCAAATTGTTACGTATGTTGACGACAGAGCTTGGAGTATTAAGGATATCAAACTCTACTATTTTGCTTATTATTGATGGGTTAACATTTCGAATCATTTGTTTTATTCTACTGTAGTAAAGGTCATTTCTTTTTGTTAGGAAACTTTCATTCATTGTTTCCAAAACGCATCGAATTTTCTGAATTACTTTTGACTCGACAGAATAATATTTAGATTTAATGCTATAATTACGTCAGATGAAAGCAATATTATTTGCCAGTTTCTCGACGCATGCGGCAATTATCGTGCACTCCTTACACCGAAGACGGTATCAGCACAACGGTAAGTTTGTATTACTGAATAATTTCGAAATATATTGTCGGTTCTTTTACAACATTGTTTCAAGGATGTGTTAAAGAAGCAGTTCATTCGGATTACTGTTTAGCGAAGTTCGGTCAGTCGCTTTAATCGGTTTTGTCCCAGATATTTTGGACGTGTTTGATTTTATTGGATCACAGGATGGCAATACTTTATCATACACCAGCTTGTATTCTAATTATTCAGTGGTAAAGTAGCCTTATATTTTCTGAATGATTTCAGAATTTCTTAGGAAACTTCAAACTTCTTTTTGTTTCAAATACTGCGGCGACAAATTGCACTTTTCCCGAAAATTTAATTTACTTGCTTATTTGTTTTAAGACGTATTTTCATTACAGTATATTTACAATTTATCCAATTTTTCAATTCTTTTACAGGACACTTTGGGATTGACATTTGATGTGAAAGGAATATTATTTCAAAATGTCGACAGCGCTAATTCTGAGATCATGCTACTATTCGATGACAGTGGCTATGCATATGTTAGTTTGTGATCTTGTTTAAAATTCTGCCGGTACTGTAGTTAACCTTATCATCATTTTAACTTTTCACTCGCTGCTGATACAAAGAACCCATCTCTTTGGCTATATTACGAACAGCATTCTGCAATGATTTCTTCATTCACCAGAGATTTTTAGGTGAACAACTTTGTACAAAACACCCGTCCATCAGTAATCCTTGGAAGTACGAAAGGAAGTCAGCTATTGAATCACTTAGGTAATTATGTTGGTAAGGCCTGGTCTGCTGAAGATGGCTATCTGCAGTGCAGCACGACCAGCTTGGTAAGTTATTTGTTTATTTACAATTTCAAATTCTTAGGTCTGGAACTGAATAGATGTGTGAACGAAATTTAATAACGAAATATGAATTCCTTTAATGAACACGAAGAAAGCGGCAATTGTAACAGCAATACTGTGAAATGATCTGGTGCACATAGCTTTCTTTTTTTACAGAAAACGTCAGAAAACACATGGCCATCAGTTACACTGGCACTTTTCATTACTAAACCTATTCCTTTTATACGAGAATTTTTGGCAACAGTAAGCCGTATATCTTATCCCACTTCCAAAATTGACATTTATTTTTACAATAATCAAAAGTACAATGAGGAAGAGGTAAGTCTTTGCTAATGGGATTATTCGGACTTCGAATTAAAAGAAGTATTGTCAGTTTCTTTCAAATATTTTCAGCTTAACATATGAAATTCATAATCACGATGACATATTTGGATAGGTGAAGATTTGACATGGATTTTAGTACACTAGACAATTAGAACGAAAAGCTTGTCTCTATTTACAGCACCATGCTTTCTCTTACATTCTGTTACAATACTTGAAATATTGCAAATTTTGCATTTCGGTCTGTTTAGATTGAAAAGTTTTTGCAAAATGCCAAAAAGTTGTATCAAACGGTGGAATACGACAACAGTGACACTGAACTGGGTGAAAGAGAGGCCAGGAAAGCTGCTCTGTTGGTATTTTCAGTTTTCCTTTATTTGTATATTTGTTTAATTCAAGTTTTATGTTGAATTTTGCTGTAATTTGTGCAACTATTCTAGATTTTTTTAAATCTTTTTTGGTCTTGGTTGAATAATTCCAGAAATAATATTATTGCAAGCTTCAGGACTTTTGCTAAAGAAATGTTAAATGATTTTATATTCATGCTGGATGGCGATGTTCATCTGATTACACCTGAAACACTGCAACTGTTGGTTGACACTGCCATTGCTGGAAAATTGTATGCATTTTAGTGTTAAATATCCACTATGAGGTGACGGCAGACTGCTGCGATCAATCATTACCGTCGCGAAATTTTCGAATATTCGAGAATCCCATCTATTTTGAGATGAATTTTAGATTCTAAATAATTCTTTTCTATGACATTGATCATCATCTCGATGATTGAGGGAGTGCGGTTGAATTTATTTGCAGAATTTTTAATAGCTTTAAAGTTTGATTTTCAGTGGTATCATTGCACCGCTTGTAACTCTCCACGGCAAACTGTTTTCAAACTTTTGGGGTGCGCTGGACAGTAATGGGTATTACTTACGTTCAGAAGATTATATTGAAATAGTAGATGGAAAACGAACGGGAATATGGAATGTACCTTATATCAGCAAGGCTATACTTATCAGCAAAGAGAAGGTTAATTTTTCGAAACAGTTTATATATGTTTGCTTAGCTTGTTTGTATTTATATGTGAATAATTTTTTCACTTTAATTTCATTTTTTATTCATCCATTAAAGATCTTAGTTATGTTCTGAACAGAAACTAATAAAGTGTAAAAATTCTCATGAATTCCAGATTAAAGTACTTGAGAATAGCTACACCTACAACGTTATGGTTGACGCCGATATGAGTTTTTGTGAGTACGCACGAGAGATGGTAATCAATATAATTGATTAAAGTTAATGCATACTTTTTAAACAAGATAGACTTTTAATATTTTTAGAAAGGTTCTCTACTTCAGAACTTCTTGGAAAAGTTTGATTCCATAGATTATAATTAACTACTCAGGAACATTAAAAACTAACTTTTTGAAAAGTGCATTGGCAGGGATACTTCATGTACGTTGATAATCAGCACTATTATGGATTCTTGGTTGATGCTGAGGATTTCGTCAGCGATGAGAGGCTACATCCGGAAATGTATGAAATATTCAAAAATCGATATGTTAGTTCTTTAAATCTGTAAGGTCTTATTAGAAAAACTGGAATCTCTAGCATTAAAAGTAGTTTTTTGAAATAGCTCTAGTTTTTATGCAAAATAATGTTATAGTAGCTCTTCATTGGATGTGTCCAGTTCTCTACGTTTCTGAATTCTTGACTCGATTTATTATTTAATTTTAGGTATGGGAACAGCGTTACATACATCCAAAATATTATGAAGCACTGAATAGTAGGAACATCCCTCAGCCATGTCCGGATGTTTATAACTATCCTTTAATGTCTGAAAATTTTACAAAGGAATTGATTGAAGAAATGGAACATTATGGACTTTGGTCAAGTGGGAAAAATGAAGTAAATTCTCTCTTGGTTATGGTCGAATTTGAAACTAATGCATGATCAAACTGAGATTCTTTAGGAAGCATCAACTTTTTCATTTCACAAACGACAGGTTAAGAAAACATTTCGTTTATGGAAAATTAGGACGAGAACTTTGCTTGTTATTTCTTTGTTTGTGGATACTATAAGAATATTATAAATTCCACTGAAAAGATGGTTTACTATCTTCTCAATTCATAAAATGTTGATAAGTTGTTTCAAAGAAATATTTAAATAGGAATCGATTAGCTTTATAGGACAACCGTTTAGCTGGTGGATATGAAAATGTACCAACTGTTGACATTCACATGAAACAAATAAGTTTTGAAAAAGAATGGTTGTACTTTCTCGATGAATATGTTCGCCCAATGCAAGAAAAGCTTTTCATCGGATACTATCAACAAGTATTTTTTATACATAATATATCTATCTATTCCTGTAGTAGATGTCTGCATCGTTTGTAAATCTGATTAGTTAGCATAATTATTACTTTGACAAACTATTTCTATAACGGAATTATAAACCTGAATTTGCCTGTACCTGTCATAGACGAGTGAAGAATGAAGTATTACTTCAGTGAGTTGTTACCTTAGGTCCAGACCAGAGACATACTATATGGATGGTAACACATATTATGCTTTCAATAATTGTACAGTTCTTTATTTAAAATGGTAGTTTCGATGTATTTGGTAATTTCTTTATATTTGTCGGTATCGTAAAAGATAGAATTGATTTTATGGAGATGATAAAAGAGACTTCCGAGTAATTATAGCCAGTAGAAGCAGTAATGATGTTCGTTGTCCGATACAAGCAAGGTGAGCAGTCTTCGTTACAAGCTCACCACGATGCTTCAACATATACCGTGGATATTCCTTTGAATAAGCGTGGTAGAGACTATGAAGGTGGTGGTATCCGTTATGTTCGTTATAATTGCACCGTTCCCGCTGATCAGATTGGTACTTTTTTTGTATTTCTTTTTTCGTCTTAAACTTAATTGCGGTTTTTATATTCTTGCTTTAGTTTGACAGAGCAGTTTGCTAACAGTTAGATTTCAATTTGTTCGATAATATTTTTCGTAATTCAGATTTTGCTATCAGTTTTTTTTCTTCAGGATATGCAGCTATGTTTCCAGGACGGTTGACCCATCTGCATGAAGGCCTTCCAGTTACCAGTGGAATTCGATATATTGCTGTATCCTTCCTCAATCCATAGAATACTTTTTTGGTTTGTCGAAAAGACTTTGTAAAAATCACCCCTCATAAAACAAATTGTTTGGTAATCTATTTGACCTGTTTCGAAATCCATATTTTGAGTGTTCATTGGCAGCTTTGTTCATTACATTTCACTGTTTTTGTGCTGCATCACTCTCAGCCAGTTTTTCATAAAATTGATGTCTTTTTCCTAGTTGCCATATCGAAAGCATTTATTGATTTGTTTGGTATGTCAGAATAACAAAATTGTAATCATTGGAATTATTTAATCCATTCTTAATTTATCTTCCATATTGCATCATTTTATTACTATGTCAAATGAACGACTGTCTTCGTGATGGGATTCGTTTTGATTTCTACGTTTTATTGAATTTTTTTCTGTTCTACTAGCTTATGCTTTAAATGATGCTTTAAATTTTGTATTTCATTAATTACGTACTACTCTGTTAATTTTATTTCACGACAGCTTGCCAAGTAAAGTGAATGTTTGCTTTTCGTCGTTTCCAGCTAAACTATGATTTTCTTCTCGACATTCTCTAGTATGTGGATGTTACCTATGAATTTCATGGTGACATATAAAATATTTCTGTATCATGTTAGCTTCGTTTGATAGTAACACATTGGTTCAAACTTCGTACTCAAACCTGTGTTTTATCAAAAAAGAATCAGGAGCGGATTTTTCTCGAGAATTTTCAAAGAAATATCGTGGGTCACATGTACCTTCCATAGACAAACTTTCCTATCCACAAAATGAACATATGTATATCTTTACATATGTGTTTTAGGCTGGATAAGGTAATCCTCATAATATGTAGACGGCATAAGTGTTAGTACAACAATTTACTTTGTTAAAGGTATGCTTCGAAGGACATTATCTACATTGACAGCTGGGGTCGAATCAGTAACATACGATGTTATTGTAATTGGTGGCGGACATGCTGGTTGTGAAGCTGCCACCGCAGCTACTAGATGTTCCGCCCATACATTATTGTTGACTAACAGGAAGGATACGATCGGTGAAATGTCATGCAATCCAAGTTTCGGTGGAGTTGGCAAAGGTAATCCATGTCTGGACACTCGATCCTATAATCCTGTTGTAGAAGGATGATCGTGTAAAGTGATAATAATTATGGCTATTCTTGTATGAGGCATCCATTTAGATCATAGAAAGTAAAGAATCTAAATTTATATTAAAATTAATCAAAAACAGTTGGAGGAAAGAAATCGAGAAATTTGAGGATTTCTGCAGAGAGCTGTAAAAATTCCATCCATTATAAGGACATCTTATACGTGAAGTGGACGCATTGGATGGATTGTGTGGAAGAATTTGTGATAAAGCAGCCATAAACTATCACGCACTGAATTCCTCGCAAGGACCGGCTGTACTGGGCCTTCGAGCACAGATTGACCGAAAACTCTATAAGCAACATATGCAACATGTAATGTTCTTTCTCTTGTAAATTCGGCAAATTGTTTTAATATGAGAAAATTCCAAACAGTCATAGGTTGCGCAATTTTTGAGGAAAGTTATCGTTACTGCAGTTTTAACTATATCCCGTTTTCTTTAGTAAAATTCTTTGTTATTATTATCCATATTTAGCGGAATTGACTGTTTAGGAAATCCTAAACTGTACGGAAGGTTTGGATGTAATGGAAAGAACAGTTGATGATCTGATTATCAAATATAAGGAAGGAGAAACTCCACGAGTTGTTGGAGTTGTAGCTGATGGTCAGGTGCGATTATGCCAGTTTGCTTTAAGGCATCAATGTATTTTATAGCCAGCTGTAATGAAATCAACGAAAAACATTGCTTTATATTTCCTCTGGAATTTTTTTTTTTTCGATTTTTCAACTTTCAGATTCTAAAGGCAAAAGCACTTGTGGTGACAACCGG